TTTTAGAGGTCTCGTCCAACACTTGCTCACTACAGCCCCTATATCCCTTTAGCTGCCTTTTCCGTATCTTTTAGAGGTCTCGTCCAACACTTGCTCACTACAACCCCTAGATCCTTTGAGTTGCCCTTTTTTGGTATCTTTTCTAGGTTTCGTCCACTACTTGCTCACTACAACCCCTAGATCCTTTGAGTTGCCCTTTTCCAGTATCTTTCGAGGTCTCGTCCAACACTTGCTCACTACAACCCCTAGATCCTTTGAGCTGCCCTTTTATGGTATCTTTTCTAGGTCTCGTCCACTACTTGCTCACTACAACCCCTAGATCTTTTGAGCTGCCCTTTTATGGTATCTTTTCTAGGTCTCGTCCACTACTTGCTCACTACAACCCCTAGATCCTTTGAGTTGCCCTTTTCCGGTATCTTTCGAGGTCTCGCCCAACACTTGCTCACTACAACCCCAAGATCCTTTGAGTTGCCCTTTTCTGGTATCTTTTCAAGGTCTCGTCCAACACTTGCTCACTACAACCCCTAGGTCCTTTGAGTTGCCCTTTTCTGGTATCTTTTCAAGGTCTAGTCCACCACTTGCTCACTACAACCCCTAGGTCCTTTTAGTTGCCCTTTTTCCCGATTTTCCCCAACAGGGAAGAACTGGTTGATGAGGTGAAAATGGTGGGCACCCTGGGCAGTAGTGACCACGTAATTTTAGAATTTAAGATCTTTGGGAAGGGAAAAACTGTACGGTGTTAGACATATAGACTGGACTTTAGAAAAGCTAATTTCAACAAACTTAAAAGTTATGCTGGGTAGAATCCCACAATCAGAAATACTTAAGGAGAAGGGAGTTCAAGAGTGGTGGGAGTTTCTTGCAAGTGAGATATTGAAGGCATAATCATAAGCAATTCCAAAGAGAAGGAAAAACAGGAGGAACCTAAAAAAGCCAGAGTGGCTCCATAAACAGCTTTCTAAAGATCTGAGAATTTAAAAAGACTCATTTAGGAAATGGAAAGGGGGCCATATAACCAGGGGTCATTTTGTAGAAAAAGAGGTGCAGGAGCTCATTAGCATAACTCATTAGCATAACTTATTTGCATATGCCACACCCCCTGGCATCGCCAGAAGTGTGTCAGAAGGCAACACCCACCGCTCAGGCTCCACTGGACTGTTTTGGATTGCTAGCTACGGGGGGTGGGGGTAGGAACATGCAGATCTGTCCTAGCAGAGGAGGGAGAGCTTGTACCTGAATAAAACTTGGTCTTAAAGGTGCCACTGGACTGTTTTGGTCTGGGGGCCTGGGGGGGGGCTCTGCAACTTACCTGGCTGCTTCTTGCTCTGACTGAGGGCTGCTGGGAGCAGGGGGTCGTGGGGCTTGTTGCATGTGCCTGCCCTCTGGGCTCTTTACTGCTGGAGCTCCCCTCCTGTGCGCTCCTGCAGGAAATGACCCCTGCATATAACCAAGGATAAATACAAATAAACAACCAGTGCTCCTAGGGAGAGTGTTAGAAAAGCTAAAACTGGAACATGTCTGGAGAAGAACAACAAAGATGGTGAGGGTTTTGGAGGTGGTGGGCTCCAATGCTTCCTCTAAGCTATGGAGTCCTGTGAGCAAAAATTCTACTTTGTGAGCTACTGACATTAAAGTTGTGAGCAACTGATTAGGTTACTGCATAACTGATTAGGTTACCTCAGAAGCTAAGCAGGGTCAGCCCTGGATAGTAGAGAAGAAGAGAGAAGAGGTTGGATTTATACCCCCTGCCCTTCACTACCCAAAGGAGTCTCAGAGCAGTTAACAATCTCCTTTCCCTCCCCCTCCTCACAACAGACACCCTGTGAGGTAGGCGGGGTTGAGAGAGCTCTGACTGAAAGTGCTCTTTTCCAAGAACAGCTGTGCCAGAACTATGGCTTGCCCAAGGTCATCCAGCAGCTGCAAGTGGAGGCGTGGGGAATCAAACCCGGTTCTCCCAGATTAGAGTCCCTGCACTTATCCACTACACCAAACTGTAGTACTAGGATGAGTGACCCCTGAGGAAATCCAGGGTCGCCATACAGAGGGAGGCCCAGTTGTATGTTTCTAAAACATATATAACCCAAGGCATAATGTTTATTGCCCTGAACAGGATGACTCAGGCTAGCCGAATCTCATCAGACCTCAGAAGCTAAGCAGGGTCAGCCCTGGATAGTAGAGAAGAAGAAGAGAGAAGAGGTTGGATTTATACCCCCTGCCCTTCACTACCCAAAGGAGTCTCAGAGCAGTTAACAATCTCCTTTCCCTCCCCCTCCTCACAACAGACACCCTGTGAGGTAGGCGGGGTTGAGAGAGCTCTGACTGAAAGTGCTCTTTTCCAAGAACAGCTGTGCCAGAACTATGGCTTGCCCAAGGCTCTCCAGCAGCTGCAAGTGGAGGCGTGGGGAATCAAACCCGGTTCTCCCAGATTAGAGTCCCTGCACTTATCCACTACACCAAACTGTAGTACTAGGATGAGTGACCCCTGAGGAAATCCAGGGTCGCCATACAGAGGGAGGCAATGACCAAGCACCTCTGAACGTCTCTTGAAAACCCCACTGGGCTGCCAGAACTCTGCTGGCGCTCTCCACCACCCCATAACAATCATGTTGTGTGCATTTATTGTATCCCATAAATAAAGGTTGAAGACTGCCCTTATGTCCAAACCCAAAGATATATCCGCAATCTACCTATTAAAATTTAGCATAATCACGTGCCTTAAGATGGTACCGAACCGCTCATTTACTCCAGCTGCCTAGACTGCCTAGATGGTCAATTCACAGGTGGGTAGTTCCTTCCTTCCTTCTTGTTCCTTCCTCCTTCTTTCTTCCTCTTTCTTTCTTTCCTTCCTCTCTCGCTCCCTCCTTCCTCTTTCTTTCCTTCTTGCCTGCCTACCTCTTTCTTTCTTAGTTTTTTCTTCCTTCCTTCCTTCCGCCCCTCCCTCCCTCCTCTTTATTGCCTTCCTTCCTTTCTTCTTTTCTTTCTCTGTCTTTCCTTCCCTCCCTCTCTCCCTCTGCTGGGGCTCCTGCGTCTTCAACCGCTGCAGGAATCCTACAGGTGACCCGGCCTCTCCTCCCCCAGGACAAAACTTCCACCTCCCCCCCCTCCTCCCCAGAACTGCTGGAGATGGATTCGATACTTTCCACTTCCGCGTCGAGGAAGAGTAATGTGTGTGCGGTGGCGGGGTGTGTGTGACTACGCCCTGGTCCAGGTGGCCAACTTTTGTCTTTTGTCCGAAAGTCTCGACGGGCGTCCGCCACGCCACCCGCGGGGCAGGCTTCCTCCTGCGGGAGCCGGGACCCCCCTGGTCTGCTTGCGCGGGAGCCCCGTCCCGCCGGGCCAACCCGGGCGCGGAAGGCAGGC